TTTATATCTTTATGGTATACATTTAAACATTACAACAGATGACTTACATATATGTACACTTATCAATCGGCGGTCTCGTCGCTCACGGCGATCTCTTCCAGACAACCTTAAAACGAATATTTAAAAAAAAAATAGGGTACTATATATACACGTGAAACAAATATTCAAAATATCAACAACATTTAATTTGGTTTTGTAAGAAATTACAATGTTTTACTACAACCGAGCGCCGCATTTTCATCTGCGTTTGTTATCACTTCTCCGTATCTAAGGCTAGCCTATAACTTTTCGCAATAAGTATTCTATCCAAGAATACAATAATTATTTACATATTCAAATCTAACCACTAGTTGCGTTTACACTTATTTCGTTTAAAAAAATAAATAAACTAAAACTCTTCTGCTTGATTAATCAGTATAAATGTGATTGCTCAAAGCTCTGTATACTGGTGTACTGTGTAATACAGATGAACTATAAATACTATTAATATGGAAACTTATCATGTAATCCAACAAGCTGATATTTACGAGGCAAAGTGGAGCCGTGCTCATGATTCACGATAGCCACAGGTGGCCACTCTTTAAGATAAAAATATTTTATGTTACAGTCGAGAGAGTGTATTAGCGGTGTTTGGCAAGTTTATAATAAAGAATAATCGTAGCTTTTTTAAAGACAACTCCCGCATTAGGAATATATCCTGTGTCTCGCGGGACTTTACAAACATACATGAAACGGACACAAAGAGCACCCAGACACAGAACAACAATTTGTGTATCATACAAAGTGTCGTCCTATGTGGGGATCGAACCCACAACACTCAGCGTAGTTGGAAGCGGCGTCCGCTTATACCACTACGCCATCGAGTGCAGTATCAGTTGCCTGTATAATGTTTTATAAAACATTAAAGTAAGGCTAAGACAATTTGGTCATGTACGACATATAATTACACCGGGTGACCAGCATTATTCATCATCACATCAACAGCCTTTAATATTCCCCTGCTGGAAATAGGCCTCTTCTTATGGAGCAGGTTGTGGCCCACTATACCAGACTGGCCAGACGGGTTGGTATAGGGTTCCGCATCGTCCGGCACCTCTGCGAGGTGGGCCCCGATCTGTCGGACGCCCAATTTGGTTTTCGGGCGGGGCGTTCGACGGTCGACGCCGTGTTGCGCCTGAGGGCCGTGACCGAAGAGGCCGTGAGCTGTGGCGGCGTGCTGTTGGCGGTGTCATTGGACATCGCCAACGCATTCAATAGTCTGCCATTCAGCTGCATCAGGGAAGCACTCCACTATCATGGGGTGCCAAAGTACCTGAGGCGGCTGGTGGCAGACTATTTAGAGGAGCGTACCGTCGTGTACGAGGACCGAGAAGGTAATCTGAGGTGTCGGCCCATGTCGTGCGGTGTTCCACAGGGGTCTGTTCTTGGACCCCTCTTGTGGAACATAGGGTACGACTGCGGGCTGGGTGTAATCTGTTACGCAGACGATACCCTCGTGACAGCCCGGGGGGCAAACTTCCAAGAGGCGGCGCGCCTGGCCACAGGGGGAGTCTCCCTGGTGGTCGGGCGCATTGAGGCGCTGGGCTTACGGGTGGCCCTAGATAAGACGGAGGCCCTGTTATTCCATGGGCCCCGTCGTGGTCCACCCCCTGGCGCCTCCATCGTGGTCAACTCGGTCCTCGTACCGGTTCGGGCCCAGATGAAATATCTGGGCCTGATCCTCGACGGTAGGTGGCTCTTCGACGAGCACTTCCGACAGCTTGCTCCGCCCTAGGGCGACTTCTGCCCAATATGGGTGGACCCAGCGTCGCGACAAGACGGCTGTACACGGGGGTTGTCCGGTCAATGGCACTGTACGGTGCACCGGTGTGGGCGGCGGCTCTGACCGCCCAGAATAGGGTACGCCTCTGGCGCCCTCAGAGGGTAATGGCGGTCAGAGCCATACGCGGTTACCGCACCGTTTCGACGGAGGTGGCGTGCGCGTTGGCCGGAACTCCCCCGTGGGATTTGGAGGCGGAAGTGCTCGCCGAGGTTTATCGGCGAGTGGCTGACTGCCGGGCGGAGAGCGGATTTCGCCCTCCGCCCGAGGATGTGCGCGAGTGGCGCGAAGCCGCTCGCCGAGCCACGATGGCTCGTTGGTCGTTCCGGCTGGAGACTCCACGCGCTATATATACACGTAAAACAAATATTCAAAATATCAACAACATTTAATTTGGTTTTGTAAGAAATTACAATGTTTTACTACAACCGAGCGCCGCATTTTCATCTGCGTTTGTTATCACTTCTCCGTATCTAAGGCTAGCCTATAACTTTTCGCAATAAGTATTCTATCCAAGAATACAATAATTATTTACATATTCAAATCTAACCACTAGTTGCGTTTACACTTATTTCGTTTAAAAAAATAAATAAACTAAAACTCTTCTGCTTGATTAATCAGTATAAATGTGATTGCTCAAAGCTCTGTATACTGGTGTACTGTGTAATACAGATGAACTATAAATACTATTAATATGGAAACTTATCATGTAATCCAACAAGCTGATATTTACGAGGCAAAGTGGAGCCGTGCTCATGATTCACGATAGCCACAGGTGGCCACTCTTTAAGATAAAAATATTTTATGTTACAGTCGAGAGAGTGTATTAGCGGTGTTTGGCAAGTTTATAATAAAGAATAATCGTAGCTTTTTTAAAGACAACTCCCGCATTAGGAATATATCCTGTGTCTCGCGGGACTTTACAAACATACATGAAACGGACACAAAGAGCACCCAGACACAGAACAACAATTTGTGTATCATACAAAGTGTCGTCCTATGTGGGGATCGAACCCACAACACTCAGCGTAGTTGGAAGCGGCGTCCGCTTATACCACTACGCCATCAAGTGCAGTATCAGTTGCCTGTATAATGTTTTATAAAACATTAAAGTAAGGCTAAGACAATTTGGTCATGTACGACATATAATTACACCGGGTGGCCAGCATTATTCATCATCACATCAACAGCCTTTAATAGTCCCCTGCTGGAAATAGGCCTCTCCTTAGAGAGCAGGTTGTGGTCCACTATACCAGACTGGCCAGGCGGGTTGGTATAGGGTTTGTGTCAAGTTTTCCATCTCTCTTTGCAGTGCTGTTGTCCTGCGTAGTTTGTCTCCTTAGTCGGCTCTTACGACGCAAACGGGATGAATAGGGGTGGTGACACTCTGTATTCTTATTATTAAACAAGGCTTTTATCTTAGAATGTCAATATGATCAAAACACCTGCATCCCGAGATGAACACGCCCTGAATATTTTATCAAAGAGGAAAATTCAGGATGTAAAATTACTGGGTATTAGAGTAATGCAAGATATACATATCAAGCAAAGCCCAGCTATTTATCAGCTAAACTTTGTTAAACAATTAGTAATTACTAGCCAAAATCAGTAATTTATTTACGGTGCTGGAATATGACGATTGTAGATTTTTTTTATTCACGATAAAAATTTTTTTTGAAAACGAGTTCTTACGCTTTTTAACTCGAAAAGTTATGCAAAAAATTCAGATTGATTGAATCCGATTGTAAAAAATCATAAAAAGTTAAAAAAAAAATGGAAAAATTATTCATCAAATTTCATTCATTTCATTGATTGTACATTTTTGCTATGATAGCAAATAAAAAATAAAATAAAAATAGCCTAGGAAAGGGGTAATATTGACTAAAAAAAGAATTTTAATAGTTGAAATTCACAAGTAGTTACCAAATTTAAATAGCTTAGAAAGATAATAAATGTATTTTATTACATTTAAATATTGAAAATTTTGTAACGAAATGACTGAAATGACAACTTATCTGTACCCCTACTCCTCCTCCTCCTATGAACAAATATGCAAAATTACAGGCCTGAAAGGAAAACATTGATCTGATCACCCTCGCATTTATTGCATTAGCAATCAATTGTGTTCCTTACTATATATTTATATATATATATATTCTATATCAGATTAGAGATTATACGATTTAAGTGAGCAATATTTTTAAATCATCTCAATTTCGATAATGCGGTCTGCATTACACCATAACCATTACACACACACACAACACATGGTCACACCATAACCAAAACATCATCACCAGTCTAATTATAGACTGGTGATGATGTTTTGTGGCCTATGTCCAGCAGTGGACTATTAAGTCCACTGCTGAACATAGGCCTCTCCTTAGAAAGGAGGTTTTGGCCTATTACATCACGCTGGCCAGATGTGTTGGTACGAGGTTTATTTCAAGTTTTCCTTCTCTTCGTAATGCTGTTGTCCTGCGTAATTTGTTCCCTTAGTCGGCTCTTACGACACCCACGGGATGAATAGGGGTGGTGACATTCCGTATTCTTAATCCGTCACCAATCCGTCGCTTCATAACCAAATACGACATTACAATGCAGATTATTAAGAATTATATTTATTTCTTATTTTTTATCACTAAATCAATAATCAAATCGATAATACAACTTATTTTTTTTTATATCTTCATTTTATTTATTGTTTACACTTTACACATAATTTAACACATGTATTTTGGCTTCATAGTATGTTTAAAACACAATTTGTACGATGGATTTTCTTGGAGATCTAGAAAAAGAAAATTTAATGATAATATTGTGTTTTCTCATGATACAATCTGTAGATTTACATAAGGGTATTACATAGGAAAATTAGATAAGGTATTATATAATAGGTGTAAGTGGCATGTATGCATATTTAATAAAACATACTTTTAGAGGCTTATGAAAAGTACCAGTAAAAAGAAAAGATGAACTCTATAGAGAAACAGAGAGTTTAAGTTTAATTAAACTTTTGTATGTAAACTAATTTATCGAAAACCCATTCGAACACACAATTATTTCCAGTATGAATATTAAACTTTGTTTTTGAAAGTTCGTTAATTATTATATCATTGTTACAGAAAGGGACCACGATCGAACTATTTGAAGTTATGGGTCTGGATATTAATTTACGAAAATGAGTGGAGAGGAGACTTCGAACATAACTCAGACACTAACGAAATTATTCGAAGAGATGTTGCTGGAAACTGAAATGAGCGGAGAAAATCGGAGCAACGTCGACTTCTCTCAGTTTCTCTCCGCTTTGAAAGTACAATCGTCCAAAAACAGCTCGCATGAACAATTGGACTTTGGGACTTTGGTAAAGCTGGTTGATGGGTGGAAGAGCCGTCTCAACCTGACCAGAACTACTGAACCGCCTTGTACATACTGCGACGGCAGCTTCAGGGACTTCATCTTAGCTTACAACGGTATTCACGGATACATCAGTTTATTAGTAAGTTTAATTTTTACATGCAACTAGAACATTATCTACCTTTAAAACTTTAAGAGGTGTTAGAGATGTTTTAATACTAAAGAACTAACGGGTGAAAAAATTAGACTTAAATATATGCATAACGTATAAATAAATATATATTTTGTTGATTTGTCCCGCTTTTAACGTAACAACAGTCATTTCGTTTCTTCAATTGAATGCACTTATGAAAAGTTCTTCTTCTTTTAGTTACGCATCTCCAGTAAATCTTGTCATCTCGACATACAGTAAATTCGACAATAATATGGCGCACCCATTACAAACGCCTGTAAAGCTAAAGAATCACTAGTCCAATTTAATCTGAAATCATTTGCGGTTATTTTTCAAAAGGTTCGCTTTATTTTAGCTCAAGATGACTTCTCCTCGAGCAATACGTTATTGTATTAGTGATTGTCTTACCTACGTAGAAAGAGATTAATTATAAACACATTTACTGCAAAATTTAATATGTACTAAAGATTGATTAACAATTGTAATTTACTATTTTTTTAAAATATCCACGATATCTGTTAAAGTGTGAAGATGTACATATACTTATATAGATACACGTACGAGTATGTTTTATGTGTAAATAATAGGGGTTAAAGTATAAAAAATGTACAATATTCGATTTTCGAGTTTTAATTGTTTTTTTTTTAGCTTGACCTGTATGTATGTATTTATGTAACGTAATCTTTAAACGCAATTTTTACCCTTTTTTAAGACGTCTAATTGCTTTGGAAATTCGCACATTTATCAAGGACCGATTACAATACAATAATTTGATGAATTTGGCTGATTATCCTGATCAGGATCTTCAGGATTAACGTCCTTTTCCATACCTAAAAATACGATAGTGTCTTTTGCTACGTACTAAGAGACGGGTGCTGAAGATATGTGACTTACTTGCTACTTTTTTAGTCTTAATATAAAAAAAAACAGCATTAAAAAAAGCGTGGGATCCTTTTCAAGATATTTTATAATATAGTAACTTTACTTTTATCAATATCTGTCACTAGTATATTTTTGTAACAATTGAGATCTCGCATAGCATTAGCATAGCATTTGTACGATAAAATGATTTTTCTTTTGAATTTATAGAAAATTATTTTTTGTCGTATTGTTGTATTGTTTGAAAGTTTGGAGAGGAGACTGCTAATGAACGCGACTTGAAAGACGAACCACGTGGAAGACCGCCCACACAGATGAATAACGCTGAATTGAAGGAGATGGTGGAAGCCGATCCGAGTCAAACTACCCAGAAATTATCGGCTTGGTTTAACGTTACCCTACCTACAATATTGACTCATTAGCATCAAATTAATAAAATAAAAAAATATGAAAAATGGGTGCCTCATGATTTGACTGATCTGCAGAAAGAATTGCGTGTTTGAATGGGTACAGAAATGAAGGAATATTGGAAAAGTTGATGGTTCACGATAAATGTAAGCAAAAAATGCAATGGCTAACCCCAGGTCAAATGCCGCAACAGTGCCCTAAAGCAAAGCTTACCAATAAAAAGGTAATGTTAACTGTTTGGTAGTCTCTGGTGTATGGCAGATAGTAGCAATGTATAGATGAGGGTAAATATTTTGATTAAATAAATATGTTAAATCTTAGAAACTTAAATTTTGCAGTACAAATCGGCAATTTCATACTTTATCCATTTATATATTATAACATTATTTAATTAGGATTAAATTATGTTGAAATATATAAATGGGGTGTGTATGCATATCAAATAATAATCGAAGCTATTTAAATTTTACTACTGTTTTGATCACCAAAATAATTTGCATATTTATTGAACTATTCTAGGTTTGATAAATATGCAAATTTAGATTATGGGTATACTATTTGGCTAAAAGTAAAAGCTTTTGATCATAAGTGATTCAAAATATCATCAAAAGTTGTACATACAAATCTACTTCATCGTTGAAAACCCAGTCATTCCAACCTTTCAACATTAAAGACTCTGTAAAAATATGTTGAGCTTAACCGTTTTCTAACATTAAGTGTTAAATAAAAACAAAATATTATATTTTGTTAAAAATCAAACATTACGTAATCTGAACTCTCGTTAGATTATTTTTAACACACGATCTGGCCCTCTGATGACGACCTTGATCCAATATAAACAAAACATTTCCATTATATCTGTCCACAGGCGTTTAATCAAAAAACCATTAATCTGTAAACGATCTTTATTATAGTGTAAATAACACCAAGTATTTTTAATTATAATTGTCAATCTTATGTCAGTATACTTTACCACTCAACATCAAAAAATAGGCTTTCGGACAGTTATGTGTATTGAATGAAATATCGAGGACGAGGTGAACAGAAGAATTCAGTGGGTTGGGTAGCGTTTGGGAAGCTACGTCAAGTCTTCTCATCGTCGATCCCACAGCGCCTTAAGACGAAAGTCTTCAATGAGTGCGTCCTACCCGTCATGACATACGGAGCCGAAACGTGAACACTTACGATCCTCAAGTTCAAAGTCGCTCAACGTGCTATGGAAAGGGCTACGCTCGGCGTTTCTCTAAATGCTCGCATCAGGAATGACATGATCTAGCAGAGAACCAAGGTCACGAACCTAGCCTACCAGATTAGCAAGCTGAAGTGGCAGTGGGCTGGCCATATTAGCCGCAGAACCGACAACCGTTGGGGATAACGAGTTCTTGAGTGGAGACCGCATCTCGGCAAAGGCAATGTAGGACGCCTACAGGTCTTGGCGGTGGAGTGACGATTTGCGCAAGATGGCTGGCAGGAGCTGGATGCGAGAAGCTCAAAATCGATCTTAGTGTCGTGCAATGGGAGAGGCTTATATCCAGCAGTGGACTGCGATAAGCTGATGATGTGATGTGTATAAAGGCCATGTTTAATTAGTCATGTATAACATTATTAGTTTCATTTTTTAAACAAGTAATTAACCATCATAACAAGTATAACATTCAGAATACACGCATACAAAATGACGTGTATATTTTTGCATTTCAATATTATTTATGATTATATATATTATGATATAATAATTAACTTTTAGGGTATAATTTGCCTGTGATGTTCAGAAGTCTGCTCAACGACCGTTGTATTTAGTAATTAGTATTTTGGTAAACAATTTTACCAAAATACTAAATTTTGTGTTACCAATTTTAATTTTGTGTCCTTAGCCTTATTATAATTTTCGCCTTTTTATAATAAAGTCCGCTGTCTTTGACTAAATTAAAATAATTAAATATTAAAAATTGGAATTTATAGTCATGATAATAGTCTTTGACACCAAGTAATAAAAATATAAACAGTTTTTAATTTTAAATTAAAAATGACAAACGTTTCATTTTAGCGTAGAAATGCTACTTTCTTAATTGAATAGATGCAAATAGCTAGATGCGCCTTTTAAATCTCAAACGCTTTTTGGAGTATTTGTGTGTAGGTCTGTACTTTATATTTTTTAACAATATTTGATGAAAGTAAACACATCACGCTTTGGAACATCAAAAGTAAGGGAATCTGTATGTTTGCTCATTAATTGATTTGATTTCGTTTGATTATTTTTATTTTACGCAAAGTATTCCAGTGAATTATAAAAATTATATATGATATGGCCCACCTGATGGTCATACGGGTCTTAGTACTGAAACTATCAAGAACATCTCTATAATCTCTTACTTAGATATGCATTCGTTGGGAATCAACTTTATGAATTATTTGAAAAAAAAAATCACTTTTCTGTGTTTTTTAACATTACAAATAATGGATATTTATTCATTTAGAATAATTGCATGGACATTATTCGACGACACGGAGGCGGTTTGAATTCAATATCCGGTCACAGTAATCCGCTACTCTGCCTTAACATCCAAGGAAAAAAATTAAAATGTCGAAGATTCTCAATACTTATATTGTATACAAATTTCAATATATTTTGATTGATTTATTATTAAATTGATCTTTTTTTTATTGAATTCCTCCTTTAAGAGGGATAAGATAAAGAATACAGCCTATACAAATTTATTATGACGCATTGCAGTAAATGATACTTTTTAATTGTTAATAATTAAGTAATCATCATCAGTGTACCACACTCTGAACGAAGACCTCACTCAAGGAGCGCCAACTATCAGTCTTAGGCAGTTCGCATCCATTAGCTGCCAGTCACTTTCCTCAAGTCGTCGGTTCATCACTACATTTTCCGATTCGCGGTCTCCACTCTTACACATGTCGTCTTTAGTGACCACCACACCGCAATTAAGTAATATTTCAATTCCAATATTTATACTCCTACAAAAATTGACTATAAAATATTTTGAAATGTGATGGTCACGATTGTCGACGCGAGATTAATAATACCGGTAATATTGTTAAATGTATTTTAAGATTATTGCCTCGTAAATCAATCAAAGTTCCAGGCGCGTCACTTTTGACATTATTCAGAGACCAGTAGAATTTTCACGCTAGACTGAAGTGCGTCATTAGGCACTATACAATCATATATATAACGATCCTACTATGATTAGAAATCTAAATAGACCTTTTAAAAATCTTATTTTTATTTAAGAGATTAGGTGGCACACAATAAAAGATAACAAAGCTTAAAATTAATATTTCGTGTCTTTTAAGTAAGTTGATATGTAGCAAGTAGCATATTAGCTATTTGCTATATTGCAACATAATTAAAAAATTAACACATCTTTACACAGCGACAAAAATAAATAACTATCTGTAATTCATATGGAGGTAGGTGGAATGGCACCATAGCACATCCACACTACATCCAAGTGATGAAATGTCTCTACGAAGCCGTGGAGGCTTCGTACAGACTTCATGTCCGTCCAAGTACAGAATCAGCAAAAAAGGCAAATGCCGTTGCATCGATGAGTGAGACAAGGGGACGTTATTTCCCCGAAATTGTTCACAAATACAATGGAGGACATGTTTAAGACGCTGCACTGGAAAAGGCGTGGCGTCAATATCAATGGCGAATACATCTCTCATTTGCGATTTGCAAGCGACATCGACATCATGGCAGAGACGCTGCAGGACATATAACAGATGCTGAATGACCTAGCTGACTCTTCTGTATGCATCGGCCTACGGATGAACTTGGATAAAACCTAGGTCATATTCATTGAACATATACTACTGAAACCGATTGCGGTACACGATGCCGTTCTCGAAGTGGTTCAAAATTATGTGTAATTCGGGCAGACATTGTAGTTAGGTAGAAACAACTTTGACAATGAGCTGAATAGAAGAATTCAGTTGGGTTGGGCAGCGTTTGGGAAGCTACGCCGAGTCTTCTCATCATCGATCCCACAGTGCCTTAAGACGAAAGTCTTCAATGAGTGCGTTCTACCCGTCATCGCATACGGAGCCGAAACGTGGACAACGTGGAAAAGTTCAAAAACGCTCAAAGTGCTATGGAAAGGGCTTTGCTCGGCGTTTCTCAAAAGGATCGCATCAGGAATGAGGTGATCCGGCAGAGAACAAAGGTCAGCGACATAGCCTACCGGATCAGCAAGCTGAAGTGGCAGTGTGCTGACCATATTAGCCGCAGAACAGACAACCGTTGGGGAGAACGAGTTCTTGAGTGAAGACCGCGTGCGCAAACGTATTTAGCCAGGCCAGGTGGCAGGAGCTGGATGCGAGAATCCCAAAATCGATCCAAGTGGCGTGAAATGAGAGAGGCCTATGTCTAGCAGTGGACTGCGATAGGCTGATGATGACAAAAAGTCCGGACATCGAGCCACCCCTTTCGGTGACGCACCCTTCCTGCAGGAAGTGGTTGGCCTCCTTGGCCGGACTTTTCCCTGAGTGCTGGAAGATCGGGTAGCTGGTCCTGTTAACGAAGCCAATGTCGCATGTGTTGCTGGACGCGGCGGGTATATTGTTTAAGATGGTTCTGTCTACCCGCATCGCCTGGCACCACAGCCAGGTGGGCCTGCCCATTTCGGTTTTCGAGCGGGGCGTTTGACGATTGGTGCTCAGGGTCGTGACCGAAGAGGCGGTGAGCCGTGGCGGCGTGCTGTTGGTGGTGTCCTTGGACATCGCAGCCAGAGGCAGCAAGTGGGCGAGCGAGAGTTATCCCGGCTGACACTCTAGTCTCTATCTTTACCTTCCGAGTAACGAAGGTCCTTTCTGGCCACGACTGCTTCGGGCAGTACTTGCAATCGGTCACTAGGTTTAAATTTAATCCCGCTTGCGAAATTTGCCCAGCCTGGGCGTCGGACCTCATTCACGGGGCCCCATGCCGCCCTGAGTGATGATTAATAAAAAAATAGTCAATATTACCAATTAAAAAAATCTCTTCCTAAAATTTGCCGCCCTAGGCTCCAGCCTACTCAGCCAGCCACCACTGCCTACGCTCCTAAACGCTGAGGTTTTAGACAACAGCCATCACAATACTTCTGCAAAATCTGCTACGTACAACGTTCCGTTATGTTACTTCTCTGTTGTATATAATAATATATGAAGTCAAAAATATGCCTAATTTATAATAAGTCTTAAAATGACTAAATATATAATATATTTATATGTTTCCAGTACACCGATATAGAACGCGTATTTGTTTTAAATGTGTTTATGTTGTATTATGTAAAGAATACATTAACTAGAACACAAACATAGATTAAGTAATTAGCAAGAAAGGGTTGCATTGCTTTTGATGTCGTCTTGATCCGATTTATGCAGGAAAGTTAAGGTCTGATTTTATTGTACTGTAATATAAGTTCTATGCTCGTAAAAAAGCTATTATAGCATTCTTATAGAGACACTAGTCGTTGAAAGTTATTTCCACTCAATTGGTTATATGGGTATAGATTTAGTTTGCCGGTATAACAATAACTACACTGGAAATGTTTATTTTATGTTACGATTACGACAAGGCTATTTTCAAATAGTTACACTATTCGATTCCATTTGACACAGTCCAATAACTGTGCGTTTGGTTTTTGTCTAACAATTTTCTATATTTTCAGCACTTTTTTTACATTATCCCAAACGCTTTGATCACATTGGATAGGCTAGTGAGTTGACGTTATATTGTTAAATGTTCTAAAAGTAGTATGTTTAGTAATTATGCCTTTGTTAGGGGATCAAAATGATCACGCAATAGGTTTAGAATTTTCAAACATTTCGATCTGATTGAACTGGTTGTGGTGTGTGACCTTGTCCGTGGTTTGTGGTCTGTGAGAATTTTGACAATTTAGTGTATACATAGAAGTAGAGCAGATAGCAAAATCTTTAAATTCAGTGTTTAAATAAGTGATTTAAAGTAAACTTATACATATATATAAAGCTATAAAAGTCCAATCAAATGACACAATACATTCATCGGGGTCGATATTAGCCCGACAGGCGATCTTCAGTTTTAATAAATCTAGATTAACCCCCTCAGTTCTAGATTGGTATTTAACTAATGTTTTATATTCTTTATATAAGTCAAGTAGTCAGTTAAATATATATACATAGTTCAGAAAAGATGTCCATCTAGTCTCGTGGTGATAATTTTGGTTAATTACAATTAACCAAAATTATTATATACGCAAGAGAACAAAACAAAATGTTGTTTTGTAATTGAAAAGCATTGCAAGCAGTATTTAACTAATAGATCTAAACGTATTATGTATATAACAGAGACTTTTTTTAAACATGAAAATAACGGATTATTCAACCTAATGTAAAGTTGTTCATTATTAAAATTATTAACTTTTCAAGACCGTGTACCAAAAAGTCAAAAGTGAAAGGCGTTCTTTGACTGGAACGTTCTTTTATGAATGTGAATATTTCCCAGAAAAGGCTTCAGACTACTCTCGGCTTTTAAAATAATAATGCTGAGTAAGTGAGGAAATCATTTTAATGAAAACTATTATACGGTAATTGACTGTTAATTAAGTATATTTTAACAACACAAAATGCAATAGTTAATCACGGAACTATATTTAATGCAAAAAAGTATGTTGGCTCTTAGTCAAGCCTTAGCTTGTATTTTTACCATGATTTTATCAACTTGGTATGTACACATGTAACAGAATCTTCGAACGTGATTTTCACCCACTCTCAAACGTCGTCGAATTAAATTGAAACTTCGCACACTTCACAATTACCGATGATAATTCAATAATTTAATAAACTTGTCCGATTATCCTAACTAGGATTTATATGTTTTTGAGGTCGGTTAAAAATCATTTTATCGTCATTTTTAACCCCCTACGGAAAACGGGGGGTATTAAAAGTTTAACCTGTGTATTTGTGGATCTGTGTATCTGTGCATCTGTGTATCTGTCTGTCTGTGGCATCATAGCTTCCGAACGGATGGACCGATTTCAATGCGGATTTTTTTGTTCGTAAGCCGTTGTGATCGAGATGGTTCTTAGCTATAAATTTTGAAGGTCATTAGCTCACTTGCTAGGTGGTGAAGGGATTTCACTAAAATCCACAGGCCTGATCGAGTTTTTTTATTTTGTGTCGGGGTTTCCTTAATGATGCTATTTTTCTTTTTGCACTTAAAGAAAATTATTTGTTACTTTTTAGTTCGGCGAGTACAATAGCATGTTTTTTTAGCTTTGTCAAACTATAATTTATTAATGATAGATATTATTGTCATTAGTAACGTTAAATATATAATAATATAACAAGTAAGTAATAAAGTTGGTCGTATTCACAGTGCCATAGTCGCACTAGAAAAATACTGTATATACTGTAAATATTTTTTTACATTTCTTTTGTTAAAATAATTAAACACAAGTGTATTATAAAAGCTCGTTGAAATACTAATAACTACAAGAAATACGTCCTTTCTTGAGAAGTCGTTACAAATCGACAGAGCGCCCCACTGGGGTTTGCGACGGGGCGGTGTGTCGGACCACACGGTATGCCATTCTGCGTCTGAAATAGGAGGGATGGGAACAATATTTAAGTAAAAATGCTCAAAATTATTCCAATAAACAGACGAACTTGAGCGTTTATACAATTGCTTGTGTGATGTAGAATTACACAACTAAAAGGGAAAGAAAACTACTCCCATAGCGCAAAAAGACAATTATTAACTTAGTTTGCAAGTCACGAAACGATCTTGTACCAATATATACCTTTGATTGTTGTCGTATTATTTTACATATGTAATGTATATATAAGTAAATAGAAAATGTGGCAGTTATATTTTAACTGTTGAAATATATCGCTTACAATCGGATGAATTAAGCATTTAGTGTGTAATATTACAGTAAAAATGAATGGATTTTAATATTTTAGTCGATTATAAGTAAGATTGTTTTAGTTCTCTCGAATTGTTTGTTTGAATGATGTTTCATTGTTTCAGGTATGTTTGTTCGGAAGTCTTGCAAATGCTCTGAATGTGGCAGTACTAACACGGCGAGACTTGGCAGCAGCTCCCATCAATCGCTTACTTAAATGGCTGGCAGTAGCTGATATTTTTGTAATGTTGGAGTACGTACCTTTTGCGATATACCGATATTGGGTAAGTTTCTGTAAGCTTAACATTTTCTTTTTATTAGATTATCAGTCAGCAAAAAGTTTTATTCTAATTACATGTTTAGAAAAGATTTGTATACAAAAATAAAATATTCAACATTCCGCCTGGTGCACAAGAAGTTTTAATTTTAAATAATGTAGTAATACATCGCTTCAATCAATTTCTTATATTTATACAGTTATAAGCAGAAAATCTGGTATACCAAAAAGGTGTGAGAGTAAATCAATGTCATTTATATTACACAAGTATAAGTAATACTCGTGTTATATAAATGACTTTTTTTTAATAATTGGCCAAACCATAGTTTTGAGCTATAAAACATAACAACTAGTTAAATAATAAAATTTCTAATTTTGGGTGTACATGTACTTAAGGGTGTTTCTCCACCGCCTGTGACTTCAATGAGAACTGAGACGCTTGCAAACCTGGGAGCCGAGTCTATGACGACCTGTGAGCGATCGTGCAACCGATCACGTTATATTCTTCTTCTTCGTTACCTTCTTCTAGATGACTTCCCGGTTTTAATATTGATTGTGGACAAACGCCCTTATTTTTTATTCTAAAAAGTTATGTAAATAAATGTTTTTGTTCTACTGTAGTATAAAAGGCCCTACGTCTATGATAATAAATTATGGACAAATGTAATGTGATCGACACTCCAGAGATACAGAGCCGTTAATTTAGCCCTTTGAAATATTAATAAATCCATTTTTATGCATAATATATTAAAAGTACCTTTAGTAAAGTCAGCATATTATTTATTAAACATGTTTGGTTTGTGTAGCATAAATAATCGACAACGATTTCGGTCATTACTATTTAAATATTTACGGCACTGTCAAATGGTAAATAAATGAGTGGGCAAAATTTAGTAGTTAGTATTAAGGGTGTTTTTATATTGAAGCCGTCTGATCATAGTAGAGGAGCCCTAGAAGGTATTTCCGGATTTACTCGAGCGTGTCAGATTAAGATAGGAGGATATCTTAATCTGACACTGAGGAGATAGGATACCTTACACTTAGTGGAGTACCTCCACCATACATGAGCCCTACACATAAGGGGGAGCGTCTTTTTTTTTTTACGTGTGGGAACCCCCTTGGGTCTTCACCCCACCAGGATTTGCGGCGGAGTGGTGTGTCGGAATCGGACTGACTAAAACCACACCGTGTGCCACTCTGCGCCTGTAATAGGAGAGATCCGGGAACTGCTATTATTAAGATATCCGGACCCCTCCTAGCAACTGCCCGTAATGGCGCGGGCACCATCTTCGGGTACTTTCTCCATTTACACACGTTGTGGCGGGTGGAAGAGAAAACACGTCCCGTCCACCCGCGGCTACACTCAGCATGAGGCGGTGGTAAGCGCGCCTCCTCCGCCCGGTTCGCCGGCGACGTGTTGGGTCCGAGTGGAGGTTGTCCTCCCGGGCCCTCTCCCTTGCCTCCTTCTGCGAAGATGTTGTCTCCCAACCGTGTTGAAACATCTGTCACTACCGGCCATGGAGCGTATGATGGGCGGTAGCGAGAGATCCCCTCTGATGACTGCAATGAGGACCCGGTGCGGTAACCGCGTATGACTCTAACTTTGATAATTGTAATGCATGTTGTGGGCGTTAATTGTTAGTTATACATATGGATGGATAATAGTTTGTTGGTAAATATACATATGGCTAGAATGGTATAGGTATCACATTCGTAAACCTTAACATCGTTTGATCAAGAAAACTTGCACATGGACGAGTAAGTATGTTTTTCCAAGGAGAAAACGCTTCCTACGCTCCACCTACATAACAGACAAAGGGCTGAATAAATACGAGTATATATTGCGAGGAAAATGTTTGCATAGTCCAGCTCCTTTATTAAGAATATAAAGATAAATATTGTGTTCGTACGGAAACCATTTTGCGGTAAATAAAGAAAAAAATAACGATATGGCTTTATAAGTAAAATAAGCTTAGACGCACTTTCAAAACAACAGGTTTTCTGACACCATCTGTTTGCTCAAATATTTTAGCATTTTGGCTTTAGGGCTTGTTCTTATTCTTAACTAACTAAATTATTAGACTCTTTTTTTTTGTTGGCATTTATGATAAACTTCTTTGTTGTTTATCTAAATTTTTGACAGTCGAACGTAGAGTAATGGTGGCCAACTATTGGATTTTAAAATACTTATTTTACTACTTAACTTTTTTAATACTTATTTGGTTCTAAATTTAATTTGTAAGAGTTTTTTTTTGGTGACTGGGTCGAAAATTCCTTCAGGTCTCGGGCTCCTCGGGGACGCAGGAGCCAGGAGTATGTGGTGTTTCCACTAAAAACAACCCCAACGATCGGACTCAGGACGCCCTAATCAGAGTAGGACCCGGACCTTGTTATTTCAGGTCCCCCCCGGATCGACACCGCGCCTAGGAAGGCCCCATCCTGGGGAAGCCGCGGGCTTTCCCTCAAATATCGCCTACCACCAGAGGTCCCCACTCTCTGGCAGCATGCGGCCCACTCGATTATTGGTGTGTCCTAATGAGTGCACTAAAAATATATTTTTACGCTTTTGGTGTTAACGTGGTAAACATGATTTATGTAAGTAACATATCGATGTATTATCGTGCCATCCGTGATTCTAAATTCAGTCTTATTTATATAACTGTTAGACGAGCGAACAGACATAATGTATTCACTTGTTTACCAGGTATTCCACCCATAGAAGCTATTCTACAGGCGAAATACCAGGTAGCCGCACACTAATGCGGCTTATATACGTCTAAAAATTCTATCTCTGATTATAAATACCACTAGTGATTTGGCTAATACTATTATTCCCGTCATAAACTTGTAGAATTGTTTTATTTATATTAAGCATTTATTTAGGCTCATCTGTTAATATTTGAAACATATCTTATCGAAAATTTAAAACAACAATATATGTATAATTTCAGTATGTAAAATTTCCTCTAAGTTTAAAATCAGTAATATTTTATCTAAAACGTGTAGCTTACTTCGATGATTGCTTTTACTCAAAAGAGTTTTTAACTATTCCTTACCAAAAGACAAGTAAAATGTAGGGCCCAAACAAAGCTGATCTACTGTTTACCTACAGACACAGAGAGACCTTTGTAAATATTGAATTTCGCAGCCAAATTCAGTCAGGACATTTGTTGTCATTCTTTTTATGTATACCAAAAAAAAACAAATCATTTTATTTTCTGTAGGTCAAAAGGGATGTCCTAAGGTATCCAGTTGAAATTAACATAAAAGCTTGTCAGCAATCCCTTAGGGCTTATCAAAAATTCAACCCTCGAATTTTTTGATATTGTTATTAATTATTCTGAAATGAAATCTTGTTTATAACAAATATCAATAAAAAAATATTGCCTTTTTTATTTTATTAAAATATCTCGATTTCAAATTTTCGTATCGTAATCGTAATCGATATACTTTTACAATAATACTTTACAGTAAAAAAAAAATTTGCTGTCGTGTAGTGTCATTTTTTAAACTATTTCTTCTATTAGATGACTAGCGATCCGCTCAGGTTTCGCACGGGTGCAAAGTAGATATTACTAATACTATTACTACTAATGTTGTGTCAGCGTTGAGTAATGAATTATACTGTTATGACGAGACTATAATATAGGACATCTTTATGTGCAATATTTATAGGACCGCCCGCTATTTTAAATCTCTAATATCTACTAAGATATTCATTTTAATGATATATAAAAGGCAATTTTGATGTACATTAAATATATAACGTACTTAACGTATTTATTTGGATAAGGAATGATACCGTATTTTTCAAAATAACTTCATAAATTACCCATAATTTTTTTGTAATATGTAAAATATAAAAATGGTTACTGTTGGCTATTATTAGCAGTTAGACATATACCCGGACTTTTTTGGCGATCTTTTTAAGATATACAATTCCATACTACATTATTTTGATCTATCTTGTATGGTTTAGCATGCGTTTGCAATGTAACAGCACAAAACATTTTTTTCTAAACTTCACAATACAAATCTTTGAATATCTCAGATTTGCTCTACTATGGTAGGCATGTATGATACAAATAAACCTTCCTCTTAAAGCATGCTCTGTAATGGTGAAAACCACATAGAAATCCGTTGCTTAATTTAAAAGATCCAAGCGTACAAGAAAGGAAAGGGACCTCTTTTTATCCGACTGCCAAGGAAGGGTTTTTATACTGTATAAAGATTTTGAGTAAAGACTGAATAAGCGACAGTAATAAAAACGTGGTTACAATAAATATACCATGATATATCCCAACCTACGCTTACTTATAGTACAGTTTAGAAGCAATAGAATTTACTATTGCAACAGACGGAAAAAATATCATAGGTAAAGAAGCCAGATACCCCGGAGGTCCAATTACATTTCTTCTGTCATACAAAAGATAGCGATATACCCCGTTTGTGATACACATACAGTTTTTATGATGTCATCAAACGGACCAGTGCCGTAAATACAGCAGCATATGTAGACGACGATGGCAGAAATTTCATGCAACATGTTCGTGTAACATAACATGTAAAGAATCCAGCATATTTTCATAAATGTGTAATATTCATTTATGAGATGTTTTTTTTAAGGTTTGAAATGCATAATAGAACGAGACTTTTGAACACAATATTTTTCACTTCACGTAGAGGATCTAAAATTAAGACAGAACGGAATTCAAAAAAAGCCTTTGTCTTGATCGTAAAACAAGTCGTACTTTGATTTCGTAAAAGTTGGTTAAATAATTTTATATTATACACGTTGCTCTTGCCTCATACACAGCTTCACTAAAGTTTTCACAATTTTGCATGATCTCTCATAGTTCACAGTAATCTTGAGTGAGATACTCAAGATCCCTAATCTCAAAAAAATTATGTTAAATTATATGGCATCTAAATTTGATATTATATGAGCATTGCTCTAGCGTGAAATAAACTATATATTTTTAATCGACGAACGAAGAAAGGTGAGGT